AGGCAAGAGGAGGGAAGAAAAGCACTTAGAGCTTCTCATAATTTGACTACAACAGAAGGGATCTCATGAATCTTACAGTATCTGGACTAAAAAAAAAGCTTAAATAAGAGAGATGGAAAGAGAGAAAAAGTCAGAGACTGAGAGACAGAGACAGAGGCAGAAACACATAGACACAGAAAGAGGGATAGACAGTGAGGGACACCACATTTTTAAAAAATATATAAATTTTAAACAAGACACTATATTGGGATAGGGAGGAGGAGATGTTTTTTAGTTTAAGGGACAGAGAAGAAATTATCATAATAAAAACCAACAGCAGATGTTTATAAAAGAAAAGACAAGGTAACAAGAACAACTAGTCAAGGTTTAAATTTAGAGAGAAGTGGGAATGAAAGAGACTGGATGAAACTATTCTAAGAAATATTAACTGACACTCTGTAGTATAGATTTTATACTTTTTAAAAGAAATACCATAATACAATATCTTGTAGGGAACTTTATAATCATCTCTATGAATGTGAATGGCATTAACTTACTCATAAAATGAATCAGGATGGCAGAAAGGCTTAGGAGGCTAACCTCAAATCTTTGTGGTATAAAGTCAACAAAAAGCTTCAAAGAGAGCTAAAATTAAGAGTTGGAATAGAATGCATTATGGCTCAGTTGAGTTTTTTTTTTTTAATAAAGCAGGATTGACAATTATAATCTCAGAAAGAAAATCTCCATAAAATAGACATAGCTGAGAGAGAAGGGGGGAGTGTGATATATTATCCTTAAAGGTAGCATAAATAATGGGAAAAAAATAGGAAGGAAGGAAGGACTGCAATGACATCTAAGGAAAATCCAACAGAATAATTACAGGGCATCAGCTGTTGGTGACTTCTACATATGTCTTTCCTTACAACTGTATATACTAAACCTACACACACCAAAAAACAAACAAAAATTAGGAATTTCATTAATTGTGGCACAACTTACATTTTTATCATTGAGTAGTAATTTCTAAACTATCATTTTCTTATCTTTCTGTCATGTTTTCTACTGTTGTTTCTATATAATAGACTTTTAAGAACATATCTATACTGTGAAACTGTATTTTATTTGTGCTTTACTTCAAATAAAACATATGAGGAACACAGCACCCCCCCATTTTTTTTTTTTTGCTGCAGATCCACTCTATCCATTCTAAAAAGTTCCTGCAGCATGCAGCTATGGAACTTTAAAGAAAAAAGCCTCCTAATAGACACCACAAGGAATAAAAGCACTAAAATAAGACTGTTACAGCTCCACCTGTTGTATATAACATTCTCTTCCTTTAGTTAATATGATCTTTTAACTGACTTGGAGATGCCCATTTTTCAAGCTGACTATGTTTTAGATGTAGAAATACAAAGTGACCCAATCTCAGCAGTTGCTCTGATTAGAAAAGAATTTATTGCTTTTATTTTATGCTTTGGCTGAATACTTAGGAGGTGTATTTGAAAGACCACTTCCAGATTTTTTTTTTAGGAGATCCTTCTAACAGTTTGCCTTTTGTCAAATTGTGGGAAGAATGCTTTCAAGATAATCCATCATGGTGATGTCAATGTAAATGCTGAATTTGTGCAATATGTTGTAATATACTGTATAAAATACCTTGACCTCAATGGTAATGCCAGTAGCCACAGAGCAAGGGGCTTATAGTAAAATATTTATTATAATAAAAGTGATGGGGAAAAAGTAAGTGTAGAAAAAATAGTATTTAAATTACATTCTTATTTGTCTTTAAGTCACATTATAGAGGTTAATTACTAGTAATGTTAGCATAAAGTAATATATTGAATAAGAAACCTGAATCAAAGAATCTTAGCATCATAAGCAATCTCCAAGATCATCTAGTCCAACCTGTAAATGAACAGGACTCCTTTACTACCATATACATAACCAGGGGCTTCTCCATTGATTTTACATCCAGAATATTCCTCATGACTCAACGCTACTTTTTAATTCTATCACCACTTTAGTTTGGTCTCTCATTATCTTTTTTCTTGTGTATTGTAATTGCCATTAATTAATGACCTAGACTTTATTTTCTTACTTTCATTTTTCATACTGCTGTCAGAGTAACCTTTCTAATGAACAGTTCTCATCATTGGACGTCCTGGTATCAATTGGTTTTCTATTGTCTATCAGATAAATTGTAAAATCTTTCATATGCCATTTAAGAACCTGAATAATGGGAGCAGCTATGTGGTGCAGTGGAGTCAGGAGGACCTGATTTCAAATCCAGCCTCAGACTACATAACACTTACAGCTGTGTGACTCTGGGCAAGTCACTTAACCCAAATTGCCTCAAAAAAAAAATAAAAAAAGAACCTTCATAATCTTGTTCTAGTCTACCTTTTCAATCATATTTCATGGTACTCATAGGAATACAAATTTAGAACGGGAAGAAACCTTAGAGTTCATCCAAAATAACTCCATTTTATAGATTGAGGTACAGATAGATAGTATAAATGATTTACGCAAGGCCACTCAGCTAGATTCTGAGTTTAGTGCATTAATCACAAAGCTACATTGCCTCCTGCTTATATGTTTTCTGTTCTTTAGTCAAAATTGATAAGAAGCCAATGTGGTGCAATGGAAAATACACTGGCCTTGGAGTCAAAACATTTGAATTCAACATCCAGTGCTATATATTAATTAATTGTATGACTTTGGGCAAGCTATTTCTCTTGTCTGGGTCCAAGTTTTTTCATCTGTTGGTCCATTGTTAGCAGAGGTTTGTGCCTATATTAACAATCTATGTTTCTGTGCCTGTTCACAAATCTTAGTCTGTTCTCTGTTGTCTTTCTGCACACCTTTCTCTGTGCCTAGAAGATTCTGGACCATTTTTATTTATTGACATATATTTTCTTCCTTCAAGGTTTACTTCAGGTGCAGTCCTCCATAGTTACTACTGATCCCTTCATCTAGAAGTGACCAGTCCCTTCTTGAATCTCTTGAAGTCTTCTGTAAGATTACTTTTGTGGACTTAATATCTAACTTAAAGTTATACTTCTCATTAACTTACTAGATTATAAGGTCTGTAAGCAATGAGAATGTAATTTTTCATCTCTATATTTTTAGTACATTGTTTTGTACCAAATTGAAGGATAATAAAGTTTAGCTTTATTACATTTTAAAGAAAGTACTTTTTTGGGGGCAGCTGCATGGTGCAGTGGATAGAGCAGTGGCCCTGGATTCAGTAGGGACCTGAGTTCAAATCTGGCCTCAGACACATAGCACTTACTTCCTGTGTGATCCTAGGCAAGTACTTAACCCCATGGCCTAGTCAAAAAAAAAAAAGTACTTTCCAACCTGTCTTTATATATTAATAAAAGAAAGACTTTCAAAACATAAATTTATAATTTCTATTACCAAAATAATTTGTTTTATTCTGAACAATAGTTATTCTAAACAGTGTCTTGGAGGTTGTTTATGATGCTAAGATTTCTTTGATTCAGGCTTCTTATTCAATATATTACTCTATGCTAACATTATTAGTAATCAACATCCATAAGGTGACTTAAAGACAAATAAGAATAACAAATAAGAATTTTAATACGTAGGAAACACAAATTACTTATTACTTTGGTATTCAATACTAAAGTGAACTTTTTTTTGATAATGCTACACTTTCTGAAGCTCAAAAATATAATTTTTCAGAAAGTGATAGAGATGTTTGCCAGCAAATAAAACATAAGATTACATAGAAAGAAAGAAAAAAAGAAGGCTTAGCATTCTTGTGCAGTAGGAATCCCAGGAGTATCATTGCTGACATTTCCCTATCATCACGTCAATTTCTTAAAACGAGGTCCCTAGCTACAATTAGTCTTTGAAGTGTAAACTGCTATATGACTGGGCTAAAGATGTTGAAAGATAAATTGCTAGCTTTTCGAATGACAAAGCCAAAGCAGAGAAAGTTTAAATGACTAATCAGGGAAAATAACCCACTGAAGAATAATGTTACCTGTTCAGTCTACTAGTCATTGAATCCTCCTGATTCAGAGGGGCTGGCTATATTAAAGAATTCATTTCTTTACATTAATTTTTTCCCTCTCCTTACTCTACTCTCACACCACCATATCTGAGATGATAGTTATAGAATTATAGCATTGAAGGTCCTAGAGGCCTTTGAGTCCAACCCCTTCATTTTACAAATAAGGAGAGTAAGGTACTGAAAGATGTCAAAAGTTGAATTCGAATTGAGGTCTTCCCAACTCCAAGTCTAGTGCCTTCTCTCTTCTACCAGGCTGCCTTTCATGTACTTTCCTTATATACTGTTTGTAGTATAACTTACATGGTAGAGTCTATTTCAATATATTAAAGTCACTCTTTTGTTCCCAAAACCTAAATACGCTAATTAGTGACTAACATTCAGAATACCGAGCATAGTACATCAACTTTATAAAACTAAAAATTTACAATAAGAAGGGAGAATATTGGTTTCGCCCTTCTTATTCCACATGAACCTCGTGAGGTAAAATGTGCCCTGGTATTTAAAATAACTCTTAAGGCTAATAATATTTTGCATTTTTTAAGAATATTATAAATATATGATTAGATATCTACATACTTACAAATTATTATCTTTTATAAAAATACCATGATCTATACCTAGAACTCCCCATTGCTATTCATACAGTGATTAATGAAATAGTTTATATTATAACAAGTTGTTGTAGCCTAATGTGCATGTAGTTTGTAAGACTAGAGAATGAATACATAGACTAACTTTTCTCTGCACAGGTTTCTTTTCTTTTCTTGTTTTCTTTTTTCTTTTACTTTTACTTTGGTCTTACAATAAACAACCCTTACAGAATCCTGAAATCAGCCCATGCTTTGGGGCATGATGGACATTCAGAAGCAATCAGAACGCCAATGAGCATTTGACCTCATCAATTCACTCAAGTTTCCTTTACTTCCTATTGGTATTAATACAATTATAGGTGGATAATTGGATAGATGTTTTGCTTTACCTTTGCTTCAATCTGCTTAGTATCTGGATTCTGAAACAAAAATTTGATTTTGCTTTTGCCATCATCTGAAGAACCTTTAAGCTGAGAAAACTTGTACCTCCAAAGTACAGCCTGAAGGAGAAAACACACACACACACACACACACACACACACACACACACACACACACAAAAGATACAGGTCAGTGAAATTAATATCAAGCAGTGGAGAAAACTAAGAAACATTTTCTTTTCTAAAAACATTATATAATATGAAAGGAAAATAGGTCATTTTATCTTAATTTTAGAGTAACTCCCATTTCATGGTAGCCAATGCACATAAATATAAGTATTTATCATAATATCTCTTGGTTTTATGACCTTTGTAGTCACTCTACTGGGCATACCCCCAGCTATACAAATGACTTAAAATAAATATAATTAGTCAGATACCAATGAATTCTTTTAAAGATATAAATATCACTTTAATAAGAAGTGTTACTTAAAATGCAATCTGATGCAGCTGACTTAAAATACTAAATATGTTTAGAAGAAAAGTTGATTAGTAAGTAGAAAATATAAATTACTTATTACTTTGTTATTCAATACTAAAGTGAACATTCTTATTTGATAATGCTATAGCTTCCTGACGAAGCTCAAAATTATAATTTAGGGCTTTCTCAGGAAGTGATAGAGATGTTTTCTAGCGAATAAAACATAAGATTACATAGAAAAAAAAAGGCACAGCATTCTTGTGTAGTAGGAATCCAAGGAATATTGTTGCCGACATTTCCCTATCATCATATCAATTTCTTAAAAGTGACGTCCCTAGCTACAATTGGTCTGTGAAGTGTCAGGTGCTATATGACTGGGCTAAAGTTGTTGGAAGATAAGTTGTTAATTTTTGGAATGACAAAGCCAAAACGAAGAAAGTTTAAGTGACTAATCAGGGAAAATAACCCACTGAAGAATAATGTTATCTGTTCAGTCTACTAGTCATTGAATCCTCCTTATTCAGAGAGGTTGGCTATAATAGTCAGTGCTTCAGAATGCCCCCAGATTGAAGAGTTCAAATAACAGAAACAACATACCCACAGTATCAGTATTGATGACATGTTGGAAACAAGGGATGAAACATAAGTGTACAAGGAAAAACACAAATGTACCGATAGGGGCACCACTTGGTATGTTACTCCTCATTCATTCTCTCTGACTCTGGACTAGCCACTGATGTGGAGAATAAGAAGGGTGGTTCCAGATGCCTCAGTTGTAGCTACTTCACCTTACATTGGAGAATAGGGCTGGCTGAACTTAGTTAGATATGAAAACATGAGGGCAAAATATGCAAACAACACTACGGATCCTGATCAGGTATGGCTTCTACACAGGTCCAGCTTTGAATGGAGCATAAGTTAATAAATATTTTTATTTCATTTTCTGTCACTTTTCTTTACTAACTCCTTGAGTTCTCCCCACAATGTCCAAAGAAAGTATATCAGGTGTATGCCAGATGTAACCCTCATTCAGATAGAAATTTCACTTCATAGCAATTTGTTTTAAGATGTGATTTATGCTAGAAAATTATATTCTTAAAAATAATTAAAAGCACTTTAATTTAATACATTCTCTTCTATGACATATTTTACTAATTTCTCCACAATATCTTTGTTTTATGTGTTGCAGCCCATCATACACACAGTTTATATACCTCCTGGGGGTTCCTCATTTTCTTTGAGACTAGAAGTATTCTGTGTCTCACAATTATTCAACAACCTTTGTACAATACTAGTATTAAAAAAAAGCAATTCATTTCAAGGAGAGGTTTAGGGATGTTAAGAAGGACATCGAAGTTCTCAAAGGTAAACAATCTGTTTCATACCTCTTGATCTGTTCTAATTCCAATTTATCATGCATTTGCAATATTTGTCCAAGATACACATATACACACACTGATGGATGGACTTTTTGAGCTGTTTAAGCATCTAAAAGGGTACATGAACAAAAAGATAGGCTTCCCAGCTGGTAACATGTTGAGAATAAGGGATGACTCCTTTGGTATCCTTCCAGTTATCAGAGGTAGCTAGGTTGCACAGTGTATAGAGTGCTGGACTTGGAGTCAGGAAGACTTAAATCTAGCTTCAGATACTTACTAGCTGTGTGACTCATGGCAAGTCTGTCTCAGTTTTCTAATCTGTAACATGGGTATCATAATAGCAACTGCCTTCCAATGTTTTGATGAGGGAAAATGAGATAATATTTGTAAAACTATTTATAAACCTTACAGCACTATATAACTGCTAGCTGTTATTATTTTTGTTATTGTTATGGCTAAAATATATTAAGCCTTTCCCTTTTACTCAGCTCATTAGGTGGAGAGATAGTATTCTACAGTGGATAGAATGCTAGGTTTGAAGTCAGGAAAACATGGGTTCAAATTCTCTTCCGATCCCCAACTAGCTGTATGAACTGAGTAAGTCACACAACCTCATTTGGCTTTAACTTCCCCATCTGTAACATAAATGGGTGAGAGGGGAGTGGAGAGTTGAACTTGATGACCTTTAAGACCCCTTTCAGCTCTATATCTCTGAACCTATACCTTAGAGTGGCATAGACAAAATTTACACAGGATGGCTTGTAATCAGCATTTTTGAGAGAGTATCTACATTTTTGAGATCATAATTCCATTTGAGTAATTTAAAAATACTCAACAAAATATCAAAAGCATTATGCCTCCTGAGATTCCTTAGGACTTTAAATTCAACCGATTTCTCAAAGGCTCTAACAACTTTCAATTACATTCTGTAATCACAAGGTACAAAAATTACTTTGAAAGCTAACTGCAGAGCCAATTCACTCCAAGACATGCTTTCCCCTCCCCCCCCAGTCTGAAAAAGAAATCAGGAGGCATTTTTCATACTTGGTTACATTATGGAGTGAGGGGAGACAGGAAGAGGGAACAACAACAGCAATGAAAAACTACTTCATATGCAGAGAAAACAAGAAAATCTCCCAAATTCAATATGAGGGGGCAGCAATGTATCATTAAAAAAAAGAAAGAAAGAAAATATATTGTGTCTGAACCATAATAATTTGTCCTTATTGGTACTGTTTAATACTCTACCTGGATGCTTTCAATCTTTGAATGAGGGCATGCTGCTTGGCCTGACTCTCAAAGGCACATTATATAACATATGGTCCATTAAGTACTCAGTTAATAGTTATGAAAAATGTAGCTAGTCTTAGGTAAAGTATGAATTGCTACCAACCGTGTTTTCTGAAGGTGAACAAAGCAATAATTTGATGGTTGACCAACCTGGAGCTCTAAGGAAAGTATTAAAAAACTTTTTTTTTTCTCCTTCTCTTTCCTCCCATACTCAATGGCAAGAAGAATAAACTTCCATGACATTTCAGAGAATGTTTATCAGCTGTTAATGGCCACAAGATCTTTAAAAAAATAATAAAAAGATTCACTAACTTACTTTTACTAACTTGTTCAGTTGTTTCAACCATGTCTAACTCTTCATGAACCCATTTGGGGTTCTCTTGGCAAAAATAATGGGGTGGTTAGCCATTTCCTTCTCCAGCTCATTTTACAGATGAGAAAACTGAGGTAAACAGGTGATTTGCCCAGGCTCACACAGCTAGGAAATGTCTAAAGCCAGATTTTAACTCAGCTCTTCCTGACTCTATACACTACTCTACCTAGTTATTTGCTATAAAAATGTAGGAGGAGGCAGCCTCACATGAGAAAGTAAACTTAATAGAGTGACTAGCTTATTATTGGTATTAAGTACATAATTGTTAGTTGATTAATTGCTCCTTGATAGACAAAGTCCTGAACTCAGAGTCAGATCAACTTGAATTCAGATTCATCCTTTGACACATTATACTTGATTTTAGAATCAATATGGAGCCAGTGCACTTTATTGCATAGGGGAGAGGTATGCTTACACTTGTGCTTTATGAAAAGCACTTTGTTAAGTAAGTATAAGCAGAGGACAGATAAGAAAAAGGAGACACTTGAGGGAGAGACACCAATTAGAAGGCTATTGCAACAGCCCCTTGAAAAGATTACAGGGGCTTGAAAAAAGGCAGTGACTATGGAAGTATTTAGAAGGGGGTCATTGCAAAAGATGCAGTAGAGATAGAAATAACAAAATCAAACAATTGATTGGATATATAAGTTGAGGGAGAGTAAGGAGGAGAGAATGACTCTGATTGTGAAACTGAGTAACTAGAAGGATACTGATGCCTTTTACAGGAATAGGGAAGAAGAGTGGTTTTGAGGGGAAAGATAAGCCATCTGACAATCCCCCTTTCTTTGCACAGTTATCTCTTCCATATTGTGACTTTCCCCATCATGCTTTCAATATGTCTCTGGTCAACATAAAAATTTAAATGGGAATTTTGGAGAGTTTTGTAGAAGCTGCAGACAACACACAAAGGCCAACAGATAACACAGAAAAAGTTTAGAAACTCACAAATGCATAAAATATATGTATACTATTGTGTAATGTCAACATATTTTATCTCTTAATACCATAATAATTCAGACTTTTTCTCTGGTATGAAGGGAGGAAGCAAAAAATTTTATGTGGATTTTCCAGATTATGGGGCCACTGTGCCCCTAACTCCAGCTATGTGGAAAGGATAACTGTATAAAGAAGCCGTACTGGTGAGCAGTTAAGAAGTATGACCACATGTCAGGTATGCTTAGTGAGAAATTGCACCAGATGGTTGTTGAGGACTCCTCCATTTCTCATATTTAGTAATTCTCTGATGCTGGCATCATAGAAATTGTTTACAGTTTGATTTATACTAAATCATTCCTATAAAGAATCTAAGGAACCTGACATACCATCATAACATCACTATTTCCTGATTAAAGTCAATTTCCCCCCCTCCTTTTTCTTAGGAGGCACATTTTTTAATCTATAAAAGCTAATATTGGTGGAATTGTGAACTGGTCCAACCGTTCTGGAGAACAATTTGGAACTATACCCAAAGGGTTAAACAATTGTGCATAAACCCATCAGTACCACTATTATGTCTGTATCTCAAATGGCTTAAAGAAAAAGAAAAAAGACCTAGGTGTACAAAAATATTTATATCAGCTCTTTTTGTGGTGACAAA